TGATCAATGAAAATTTAATTAATGAGCCCTTATTAATACTTTTACCGATATTTTTTTATTCTACCCCCACTCTTCTTGCCTATTGATTGTGTAATAAATCACTTCTTTTAAATGATACCATAGTCTTCTATTCTATGCACATGTTCAAACGCACTACACCTTAAAAATGGAATTATGGCAGTAGTGAGCAGTGAGACACTGTGACCCAAATTGGCCGGGCACCGGAGAAGGTTCGTCTAATGTTGCCTGTCACATTCCAATTTGTACAGAAATGACCAAATGGGCCCGACAACCGGTGTCTCATCTTGTCTCGTCAACTATGCCCCGATAGGTGGCAGCCCTGTGCTTGATCCATCATTCTATCTCTAAATAGTGAATGCAAACAAAGCCAAAGCCCAATGGGGAATGCTGAATGACGAGGAAGGGAATCATTTGGTTACCACCTGAAATTTGAGATTCCGCTGATTTTGATGGTCTCTGTCTGGACCCTCTTGGACCATGAAGTGGTTATCCAAAAAACAAGGGTAAAATGGGGTTGATTATTTTATTGGTTTTGACTGAAATAAACAATGAGTACTAATTATGGGCTTAGTGATATAAAGGTAAAAGGCTTTTTACAGCCCACAAAACACCCCAAGTCGTTTTCAGAAGGCTATCATTCTATGAAGGTCCATGAAGCTGAGGGACAAATAAAATAACGACAAGGATATGCTTCTACACTTGACATTCCATTTTATCCTTCTCTTTTTCTTTAAATATATATCTATATATATATATATATATATATATATTCCTTTTATTTATGATCTTTGAAGGATGAATGAAAAGGGAGTCGCACTTTTGATCTTCCACCATTCAAATAAATATAAAAAAAAGGTAGGGCCCATTATCCAGCATAAACCAAACCCTTCAGTCAGTTCCTTAATTAGGTTAAAGCAATCAAGACCTCATCGTCTATGGAGTATGGAGTGGTCAATCCAATACTAAATATGTAGTACTACTATATAAAGCGAAGCAACATCCCTAAAAAATTTCCATTAGCCTCCACTAATATTTGGTTGTTCCATTAGTTGACCTTAATAGATTTAAAATAGAGAGATGGGAATATTTATGTAGCCGTTACATCCCAAAATCGCTTTTGGCCAAAAACCATTGGTTTGGTCAGTGAATCGTCGACCTACGCAGTTAAACAGTTGAATTATTGATATGGACAACAGTTTTTTGTTTTTGTCAGAACAGGTCATCTATTTAGACCAGACAGTCAAACCGTTTGACCTGGGAATCGGTCTCTAAAACGGTTTCCTATCCAGTCCAATTTTAAAAAACCTTAGATTAATTTCTTAGACTCAATTTGGAAAGTGTACAAATACAAATATATACAACACAGATACATACAAAATAATAGACAATACAAGACTCTGCACTCTATATATTTGTATTTATACTCCTACAAAATGATGTGATTTAGGAGACAAAATGTAAGATGAGTATAATGAGATCCTTCACCATGTCTGTGAATCCATATCGCACTTATCGATACTTCAAACCTTGGTTGGAAAGAAGTTGAAATTTAAAATTTGTAGCCTAACAGCCAATAGATGATTGATGATAATGAAGAGAAATAAAAGACAGTAGCTTGGTTGGGCACATGTGATTTTTGTAAAGGGACATATCCCTAATCATAATTCAAAAAAGTATATTTATGGAAAGACATAAAAGCCAGGTCCATGCATTTGGTTATTCTCATAAGCAAGAGGTTTTGCCTTTTAACCAACCATTGTGCCTTTTTTCTCTAAAAAAGAAGAAAAAATAGGTGTCTGATTTATTAAAAAGAAAATGGGATGTGATCAAATGGCTCTCTAAATAAAACCAAAACAAAATCACAGATTAGGCCATAATCCATCAATGGAGATTGAAAAGGATGAGTTTGAAAAGCTATATGGTTCAAAGATTACATCGACCATTAATTAGGGATGACTAAATGGGTCGGTTCTACCTGGAATTGATTGGAACCCTCATCGAACCCACCATTCCAAATTCTTGGAACAGACACCTCCCTAGATTGGCTCTAGGGTTTGGGAGTTTATCTTACCCAAACCAACACTGGAGAATTGGTCTTGATTGGCCTTGATGGAATCGGTTGGTTGTATTTTGAACTTAACGAAATTACATTTGACTAAATTGTAGAAATATGTGTAAAGTTGAATTATCATTAATAATGATTATGTGATATTATTTAGGTTGTTTATGGATTATGTTTTATATTCTTTGAGATTGAATGATTATATAAGTTTGAAATGTAGAATGTTTATGATAAATTATTATCCAAGGTCAAAGCTTTGAAAAGGAGAAAGAACATAAAACAAACAAACCTTAGTAGACCCTATAACCATCAAGACCAAAACCGACCTCAAAACCAATCTTGACAGGGTAAGTTTTAGTTATAAAAAACCGGAATTGACCCCTAGAGGAATAAGTAAGAGTGTCAATGGACCGGTTATTGATTGGACTCCGCCCAGTACAAAATTAATTTGGACGATTGAATGGACCAACAAGGCATATTGGATTGAATTGAATTAAACCAATATCTGGTCCATTGATATAAGATAAGAATATAGGTGTCAATAGACCAGGTTTAGATTGAAACCAATCTAAATCATAACAAATTTGAACAAATTAGATGGTCCAGACATTAAATTGGACCAGTCCAGAATGATCCAAAATATTCATTGGACTGGATTGGACCTGGTCCAATTTATAATGAACTCGCATTGGACTGGATCGTATTGGATCAAATCCAGTCCAATTGACACCCTTGGGAGTAAGTTCCCGGCTAACTGAACTAAATCGATCTGTGCTCACCCTTATTATTAATTATATAATTAATAGTAGTATGGTCATATGCTGCACTTTTGTTTTTTCTTTTCCTGGCTCTTTGATGGTTTACTTAACTCAGTTCGAAGTTGAAGTTGGAGTTGTGATCTCCTCTCAACAGAAAAGAAAAAAAAAAAAAAACTGTCCCAACACGTTCAAACATGATCTGTGTATTGCATGCAGAAAGCAGCAGAATTCCAAACTGAATGGTGGGCCGTCATTGATGGTTTAATAGAGGCTAGCTCTTAGGGGATCAAAACTCTTTTGGCTTTTTGTGATTCAGCAGAAGTTGTACATGGTATATATTAGTAAAACAGCTAATTCTACTGTAGGTTATGGTTGGGATTTTGTCAAAGGGCCCAACCCAAAGCCCAAAGCCCAAATCCAAAACAGTATAAACTTTTAACTTGGGCCAACCCGACTTGCACCCTCAATGACAAGCGGCAGGTGGAATGTAAGGAAGCTGAATCTTATTATCCATGCATTTATCTTTTTGTGTGGAAAAAACAAATAAAATATAGGCAGTTATATGTCATTTTATGATATAGAATGAAAGGTGACCATACAACCCCTTTGTATTGGTATGTGTTCCCTATTATGACACCGGGTCCCATAAGATTTGTGGTTGAGATTATTCACTTGTCCTATCAAAAACAGTGATTTCCATATAACAGTATCACGTATATTTTTCATGGGGTTTTGATTGGTCATAATCTTTATGAGATCATGTCTTTTTAGCATCATAGATTTTTTGATAAATTACAGATAGATATCTTATACTTTGGGGGTAATGACGATAGGTACCTGAACTTTAAATTGCAATACTTGAGTATTCTGTACTTTTAAAAATAGACACTTGGGTCCATCCGTCAGTTAAATATTACATAATACCAAAAAATACCCTTTTCATGTATTTTTGAGATCATTCTCATATACTTTTGAGATTATTCTCAAGTAACCAAACGTCTCTCCACAATGACATTCTCACATGGACAGCAAATAACATATTCAAATTGTCCAACGACAGCGTTCTTTGGTGATAATTTTACTCTATAGAATGATCTCAAAAATACACAAGAAAAGCATTTTTGAGATTATATAATGTTTAACTAACAGAATACTAACGGATGGACCCAAGTGTCTATTTTTGAGAGTTCAGGGTACTCAACTGTTGCAATTGAAAGTTCAGCATACTTATCTGTCACTACCCCCAAAGTACAGGGTACATATCTGTAATTTACCCTAGATCTTTCCATTTTTATATTTGGCAATGAAGGTGGTGTTTGGAATTGATGGTGGTTTTTCATAAATCAGTGCCACATCAGAGAGACATTAGCAATTTCAAAATCTTCAATTATTTTGTTGTTTGGCTGCCAATTTCTAAGAAATTTATAAATCGGTTAGAAATTGGACTCAAAAGAGGAATCACATCAAATGATAATTTCTCTTTTTAGGCTGATTCCAATTATTTTTGGATGTGAGGCATCTGAGATGAATAGGGGAGATACTTCCCATAAACACAAAAATCACTATTGATAATCACTATCAAACAAATTCATAACCGATTTATGAGAAATTAGCGAGGACCCATGCGATGCATGGGCCTTGTTAGGCGAAAGTTAAACAATAGAAATATATAAGAGTACACAATTGTTTTATATTTCAACTTTTTATATAATTAATAATTATTTATATTTTATATATTACTTTTAATAATTTTTTACAATACAAAAATAACAATAATTAATTTAAGCTAGGGTTGTTCATCAAACCGATGAAAATGTACCAATCCGACCCAATTCGACTCGAATTGGTCGGTTTTCTAGTATTTCCGATTGGTTTTGATACAGTGATTTCTCAATCCAATCAAATTGGGTCAATTTCGATTTAATCATTTGTAAATCGATCAAAACTGAACCGACCCGATCATGAATATATATTAATATTTTATATTTTAAATATAATTTTTTAATACCAAAAAAGTAATAAAGTCCGATAAAAATGCGATAAGAGGAATCGGCATAGATCCCAAAGTCGGCTTTCAGTTTTATATTTTGCGTGCCTAATTTTGACGTATGGAGTGATGGATTGTGACGAATGACGATGAGATGATAAGAACATGACTCCTCCATTCAACGACTGACAGCATTCTTTTTGCAAGTAACAGACTCTCCGACACTTTGTTTGTATTCTGATACATAATCATGATAAACAGTCTGACCAGAAGCAGAAGCAGAGAGCAGTCTACCATGGATTTCCACTTGCAAACCAAAGCGTGGGTGCAAGTGTATACATTGTATTAAACAAGTCTCTGTCGCCTTCCCCTTCAGCTTCCAAAAGCAAACAACAATATTATAGTAGAAGAAGAATCTCAATCCATCCATTTATAAATGTCCAAGAGCACATCAATTCCACTGCGTTTACTCCCCAACCTGCAAAAAGAAATCAACCGAAATAAACAAATCTTCAATCACTATAGAAAGCTTTTAGCTTTAGCCACCATTGACATTACCAACACAATTAACTGCACATCTCTCTCTCTCCTCTCTCTCTCTCTCTAGATATCCTCAACTCTCCTCTTAGTCTCTCTACAGGCTTTCTTCCCAAACAGAGAGACTCCCAATAAACAACTCACTTAGAACACCCAACTATATAAAATATCAAAGGATTCCCCCACCCCCTCGTGTCTTCCGACATTTATCTCTCTCTCTCTCTCACTTCCTTTCTCTCCAAGAATCTAGTAATAAAGATGACAAGCTGATTCCTGTCAATGCTCTGTCAATCTGTCTCTTCTTCTCCGGCATCCCTGCTTCATTTCTAGGCGAGTCTCCGGCACACAAATATCACAACATACTCCAGTTTTCATCTTTATTAACTCCTTTTGTCTCTTCTTCTCTATCTTTGCCTTTTCTTTTTCGTTCCCATTCCCATATGCTATGCTTCTTTCAACTAATAACTGGTGGGTGCCTTTTCTGACGTTTTCAGAACTGGGTGATTGATAGAACAGTTGTATTGATAAAAGCAATTCTCTTTCAAGTGAAGGAATTGCTCATACTCGGCTGCCATACAACACATCAATGTTGCTGGGGAGGCTTCTCTGGTTACTGTTTTTGTTTGGAGTTCTGGGGGCAGATATTTCCTCTGTTAATGCTTTGCCTCGACAGATCCTTTTGGATACTGACGTCGATACTGATGATATCTTTGCTCTTCTCTATCTGTTGAAGCAGAACAGATCAGAAATGGACTTGCAGGTATTGTTCCTCTGTCTCTTATTATTGAATTTTTAACACTGGTTGGTGGGCTGCACCAAGAGCTTTATATGATTGAATATTTCTGTTAGAAAGACAAATGGGTAAGGAGAGAAGTACAGAACACATTTGGTCTTGAAAATGTTAGTTTATGAGATAGTCTGAAATTCAGTGCTTCTAGGTGTTGCCTTATATTTCTTCAACCAAGTTATTATCTTTCTGTAGGCAATCACTATCAACACCAATGCATGGACTAATGCCGGGCATTCTGTGAATCAAATATATGACATTCTTTACATGATGGGTCGTGATGACATTGCAGTTGGCATTGGAGGTGAAGGTGGAATATTACCAAATGGTACCATCCTCCCAGATGTTGGAGGATATCTTCCAATAATTGAACAGGTTAAATGTACAACCTGCTATGTTTTTTCTCAGTTTCATGTGTAACATGCCATCAAGATAGAGTATTTCCTTGAATGACTCTGCAAATTACTCTAAATATCTATCTTGTTCATAACTTTCAGCGTGATATGCCATCTGGGTTTTGAAATTTGGATGGGATGTTGTATTTGAAAAATCAGTTGGCTCCCTGAGTCGATGGATATCCTTGTTTGTTGTTGATTTTGTTAGTGTCTGAACATTCTTTGTTAGGGGCTCTCAACTGCTGGAGGTTGTAGGTATAGACAAGCTATCCCCTTACGGGGGCGATTAAATGTTGATACAAATTATGGAATACGGAGAGGATTCCTTCCACAGGTAATCATTTTGGTAGTTTTCACCGTCTTCTTAGATGCTTTTAGCAGATTGTAAGAACATATGGGGTTTGATGGGGAAGAACAACTTATTACTATATTACATGCCTGTAGGCTTTTGTATCTTCTCTGCATTCTAATATCTAGCTCCTACACATTATTGTTGTTGAAGCAGGGGAACAGACAATATTTGCCTCTTCAGCAACCTACTGCACAAAGAGTGATGATAGATACAATATCAAAGGGTCCTGTCACTGTACTCATTATTGGGGCACATACAAACTTTGCCATTTTCCTCATGAATAATCCTCATCTGAAGAAGAACATTGAGCACATTTATGTCATGGGTGGTGGTGTGAGGTCTAGCAACCCAACAGGTTGCTGTCCTAAGAAATCCATCTCCACTTGCAAGCCTAAACAGTGTGGTGATCGTGGTAATCTATATTCAGCCTTTAACAGCAACCCATATGCTGAATTCAATATCTTTGGAGATCCTTTTGCAGCATACCAGGTAATACAATTTTTTGAATGTAGATTATTCAATGGACATTATGAAAATATAGCTAGGACAGTTTACTGTATAAAACAGAAGGGGAAAAACTATGTATCTCAATAAAATTTAAGTATTTTCCTTAATTTATTGCATATACTTTTAGATGCTTACAAATATTTTGATATTTTGTTTGATTATAGGTTTTCCATTCTGGAATCCCAGTCACTCTTGTTCCGTTGGATGCAACAAACACTATTCCTACAACAGAGAATTTTTTCATGGAATTTGAACAGAGACAACATACTTATGAGTCACAATACTGCTTCAAGTCCTTGAAAATGATCCGTGATATTTGGGGTTACAACCAATTCTATAGGGTAGTTTATAACTGATGCTTTGTTTTATTGCATTGATTGCTATTCCTCTCTACAACTATGTTTTTATGTTCTAGCATTTCACAGTGAACTTTTCTGGGCTGTATTGTGACAGTGGATCTGTTGTTGGGATCATCATTCCAACTATGGAATGACTGATATGTAATTAATGATTTTAAATTTTAATGATTGGAAATTATCATTTCCTATCAAAAAATAAAGTTAAATACATAAGTAAATTAGCATAAAATGATTAGTGGTACTCCTTCAGTGATTGAATTGAGCTAACCAATTAGGATAACCTCTTGCAGAGCCATTTCATGTGGGACTCATTTACATCTGGTGTAGCTGTGTCAATCATGCATAACTTGCACAACCTTGATGGGGAAAATGAATTTGCTGAGATGGAGTATATGAACATTACAATAGTGACATCAAACAACCCATTCGGGATATCAGATGGCTCAAATCCGTTTTTTGATGGTCACAAAATTCCAATGTTTAATTTACAGAAAAATGGAGTACATAGTGGCCATGTTCAGATGGGAATTCAGGATCCCTTCTGCCTAGTGAAGAATGGGAAAGGAAGATGTCAGGTAATTGGTTGTTGACTTTTCTCTGAAGCAGAATAAAATTAGTCATGAATCATCTGATGGAAAATGTATCTAGTTACAAACCAGGCCTTATGGGGCGAGATGCTCTTAGAATTTTTTTCTTGGTTTAATCTGATAAATGCACGGTGCTTGTCTTGACTTTAAATCAAACTATAATGTCCCCCTTTTCCCTTTTGTTTTGGTAATGCATTTCCAGTTAGTTCATGATATTGTAGGAAGATTAAGTTAGTTTCACCTTAAATACAAGAGAATTCTATCATCTAATTTTACATTGCAAGCAGGATGGTTACACAAAGGAGATAAACGGTACAGAAGCAGTACATGTTCTCGTTGCTACAAAGGCAAAACCAAATCAGGATATTGGCAGTCTGCTGGAAAGAGAATTTTTTAAAAGCTTCTTGGATGTAAATGATTCTGAGTATTCCTTTTATAGCGTTTTTGTGTTTAAATTCTGGTATTTCTTCAGTAATCACACATAGATAAATGAAAATGCCATGTGTTGGGAAATGCAGGTTCTAAACCTCCCTGAGCAATCTGGAAGATTTAATTTTGCAACCCAATTTCCTTACTATAAAGAGATTATGTACAAACCAGATTTTGGAACAAGAAAATTAGGAAAACCTGTTATTTTTGACATGGATATGAGTGCTGGAGACTTTCTCTCTTTAATCTATCTCCTGAAAGTACCTGTTGAAGTAATAAACCTCAAGGTATGGTTGTTTTCCCTTTCTATTATTATTATTATTTTTTTTAATTTCATTGGTTTTGAATTATATAAGTAAAGTGCATTCAAAGTACCATCTGGGTCATTGCTTTGCCTGGCTGGTACCCCTGGCACATAGATCAATGAGTCAAGACATATGGTGGCTTAAGTGGTTGCATTGCTAATGTTCTGAGCACAGAGGTGAGAAATGAGGTTATCACTTGAATACTGCTTACATAGTTAAAAGAAGACTGAAATGATCTTTATTATTTATGTATATAAAATTTAATCATTTATATAAAAAGATACTCTGAAAGTGATTGGGTTTCCATTAAAGGAAACTCGACTCAACCAAGCCATAAAACAATGGAGGTCACCTACATGAATTCTATTTTTTCACTCCACTCTATCAAGGTCCAATCCTCTTTTAAATTGTCATTCTTTTCTTCAAAGAAAAAAAAGAAGTTTCTGTTTCTCCAACACTAATATGAATTACAATTAAGATTCTTTTCCCAATACAATTCATCATTAGGAAAGGCAGGCAAAAACTTGACAGTATCTTTCCTAGAAAGGCTAATTTGCCTATGTATAGCTTGGATGGCCAGATTATTCTGACTTATGAATGTGTGGATGATGCTACTAAGATGTTTAATCATGGCCCCCATACCATGATGCTGGTACTTGCTTACTTTATCTGGGCAGTGGAGTTGGTGGATTATTTTTGAACCTTAGGCTCAGTTGGAAGGAGTACAAATACAAATATGTAGAGTGCAAAACCTTGTATTTTGTATTGTTTTATATGTATTTGTTCTGTACATATTTGTATTTGTACTCCTTCCAAACTGAGCCTTAAGACCTGGATGTATTCTCTAGGAATGCCAATTTGTGATGTACCTTCAACAGTTAGTACATGTTTCTTGCAACTTGATCCTATTTATCAAAAAATATGTTAATCAATTTCAAATACATCATACTTTTCCTGAACTTAAATTGGAAACCACTTAATCAACCATCATTTCAAGTTGTGTGAGATGCAAGTAACATTCCTTTATGCATGGCTTTTCTTCTTCCAACAGGGAATATTGATAAGTCCCACAGGCTGGGCAAATGCTGCAACAATAGACGTTGTTTATGATGTACTGCATATGATGGGACGTGATGATATTCCAGTTGGTCTGGGAGACATGTTTGCAATTGGTGAGGCAAATCCATCTTTTCCTTCTGTTGGTGGCTGCAAGCATGTCAAGGCTATACCACATGGAAGTGGTGGGTTTCTTGATTCTGACACATTTTATGGGTTTGCTCGTCATCTTCCAAGGAGCCCTAGAAGGTATTTCTTACATCTTGATATAATACTGATGCTAATTGCATTTTGAAGGGTAGTCTTCTGTTTCACTTGAATGCTCACATTCCAAACGTGGTTAATTACATATTTGGATTCTCAAATGGAAGAACTAATGGAAATAAAAGTCTTTGTTCTCTCTTTTTGTGTTAGAGGTATGTTCTTATAAACATTGATGTTGTTTCCTTGGTAGGTCATTTTTGACACAACAAAACATCATCATCATCATTAGCCAAAAAAGCAAAAACAATAACTAGAACTTAAAGTTGGAATTCCATATTAGTATTTCTTGCAGTGCAAAACATAATGAAATTATTGGTATTTAGGAATTGAACAGGAGATTTAGCGATGAAAAAAATTGAACTGTTTATTCCAAGATTAATGAAGTGAGAAGTACCCCTAGAATCCAAGGTTACAATGTCACACATTGTATTTTATTTTTGTCCAACTTAAACATCCAAACTGCGATGTCCTGTTATAATGAATCCATTCTTGTTTAGGTTAACTAATAATATGTAGTTAATGTATAGTAAGTAACTTTGTTCTATGTCTTCATCCCAATCTTCTAAATGCTAACTAAGCACTTTTTGTATATGGGCTTCTTTCAGAACTTCTAAGGACAAATTCATAATGCAGCATCAATGTTTTTTTGAAACTACATATGGGACTAATCTTGAAGGACATTAAACATTCAAGGAGAAAACCCTTTTTCCTTGCAGTCAGAGGGGATATTTGTGACCAGAGATAATGTCCTAGGAGTGCCTTCTGTAAGAATATAGAACTTCTTGTATAATATTCCTTATGACAAAGAATAAGAAATACAAATTAGTCAGGTGCTTAACTCCATTAAAACTAAACCTAGGCTTTATAACAACTATTTGTCTGTTAGATACACAATTCTTGCTTTGTAGTATGTAGGATCATAACTTCTGTTGAAAAAGCAGAAGTTATGACAATCCCGTTTTCTTTTTTGTCCTTCCTGTTTCCATTTTACCATCTTCAGCTTTCATCAAATACTCCTAATTATGTGGTTGTTGGTACTATATTGACATCAAATCATCTAATTCTACCTTTCCTCATCTCTTCACGTATTAGTGCAACCTATTAGTTTCCACATATTCTCTTGTTTCTCATATTCTTCGTAGTTCCCCTGCCTATCTATCTCAGAATCCTCTTCTTGGTCATGTTGATTTTATGGATGTTTTGTTTCTTGTCCCAAAAGGAATCCTTAAAGAAGCATTGGACTTATAACATTCTTGTGGAAATATTCCTTATAATGTGATTAATAGGCATTAGTCCTGCAACATTTCAGAAGCACACATCAACTTCATCTACCACAGTATTTATGAGGACACCTTCACATTAATATCTCTCTCATTATGTGTAGTCGAAATTAATTAGCAAGAGTGGTTGCTTCTGGCAATTGGCATCACTTTTGCTATCAATAGTTTGCTTTTTCTACTTCTAAATTTGTTTTTACTGAATGGAACTGCATGTATTCTTTTTTCCTGGGTTACCATTAAACCCTTTGATTCTAAAATATGCCTTCATGATTCTAATTCCACATTTACCTCTTTTCTACCATAATTAACTACTAATGCAAATGGCATCTCCTCCTATGAGTGCCAAGATAATATCCATAATTCATACCATAATAACCTTCCTGGTAAGAAGTAGATGGGTGTTGGATAAATTATTAGGACTAGTTAGATTCTATGCATGTATAGATGTGACAATAAATGTTATATCTAATAACAAAAAGTAATATTTTTTATTAACTAATGTGTATTAGATCTACTAAAACTACTACATCTATTGTATCCTTATCTTCTGTTAGATTAACCTTTAAGTAATGTGCATAATTTTATTCTTTGCATGCTAAAGTACTCATAATTAGTATAAGTTTTTCATGAGTAGATGAATTTGACAGGGAAAAAGGAGGAAAGAGAAACAAAAAATCCAGAAATCCTTAATACAAATAGGGCATAGGTATACCAGCATGTGTACTCTCTCCCTAGAAAATTTGACCTCAGCTCGCCTTTAGCCAGAGATAACTCATTGGCTAGCCTTGACACCCACAAAATGAAATGTTCAAGTTGGAGGAAAAATCTTTGTTTTAGAAAGGTATTGGTAGTCATCTATTGGCCCTCACCAGAACAAGAAGCCAATTTAATCATGTTGCACAGGTCTTCTCATTTTTCAATTTAGAGGGATTGATTTCATACAGCATAGGAAGAGTCGTGGTTTTGCTAGAATTCCTTGGTCTGATTCTACCAATAACACCTATTATAAATACCCATCAATCATTGAAAGGCTAGGCTACCTGGCAAAAACCATCAAAATTTTTCTTTATTTGCATTCTTCTTCTTCTTTTTTTTTTTTTTTTTTTTGGGGGGGGGGTGTTGGCATTTGAAAATCTTTCCTATGATGGTCCAGTATACCACCTTACCTTATTGTCTTTGGATTGGCTCTAGGAAAGATAGGTTATGGCAAAGAATAGTCTATGAGAACATGCCCTCTTATTGCAAGTATTGTAATAAGAAAGGCCAGGAGGAATCTGAATGTCAATGGAAGAATATAAAACAAAAAAAGAGGAAGGTTCTGAATGAAACTATGATGCACGGAAAAGGCAAGGAAGTGATTAGAACCGAATGCAGACATACCAGTGGTAGGGATGGAAATCCTAAAGAGGATGCTCCATCTTCTTCTTTGATCATGGTAGAAAAGGGTTCTTAAATCGAACCTACTTTAGAAGAAAGAGCAGTCTTTGTTGGAAGTCAGAATGGAAAAATGCATAAATAATGTTGATGATGGGGAAGTTGCTTGCTGGGTGTATGAAATAAATACTAAGGCAGCAATAGTGGTTGCAAAGGAGAAAAAATATAGGTAAGGTGAATGCCCACTAGATGTTTGATGTAGAGAATGTGGCACTGAAAGTGCTTTATGACTTGGTTAGCGATAGTGAATTAGAGTATGAACTGGAAATTGAAAAATTAAAGGTAGCAGAATGGAGATGCATTAGCGAGACCCTACAAAGAAGGATTATGCAGAAAATGCCCTACCAAGTTGCTGCAATGCCTCTTGAGATTGAAGCAACAATTGCAGCTGTAGAAAAACAAATTTGCAACCAAGAGGCTGAAGTCAATTTAATTAGGATAGAACCTCAGATGGAGAAAGATCAGAAAGGGTGATCACATGTACAGAAAAGGATGAAGTACTATACCTTTTCTCTAAAAAAGAAAAAACAGATGAGCAGAACCAGAGTTGGATAATAATGGAGAGAGAAAATGGTACACAATTCCAATGTGGAACAAGAGACTTTGCCTCCTGTGGCACAAGCAGAGTCAATTCATAGGTCTTCAAGACCAAACAAAGGTTTCTTCTCTCGGTGTAATTAATGTAGTCTATTTTAGGCATTGTTTTAGTTTTAAATGTTTTTCTGTAGTGCATGTTTTCCTTTTAGGGGTAAGGCTCACGTCCCCCCTCCTAGTGATAATTGATAATATCTTCTTAAAAAAAGGAATAGCCTATCCAATGACCTTTACTCTTTTTCCATACAAAAAGGGTTAAGGCTCAATGATTACAAGAGAAACACCTAACTAATTTTGACAATCTCAAGAAATGGTGTCAATGATTGAGACCACTGTTCAATTAATAATCAATCAATTTGATAGGTTTACCATTTTCATTGCACACAATGCGCTTATGGGGAAAAGTATCTCTTATCTTCATTCTCATGTAGGGCATCTTGCACGTATATATTGACTTTCCTGTTAACCACCTCCAAGGAAAAGTTAATTGTTTTATGCACAAGAGAGTTAGAAAAGATGGTTAGGTATTTGGGTTTGTTGTTCCTAGGTTAAGATGTACCTTTTAATTTTTTTCTTTGTTTGGTTTCATTTTTTATATTCCATATTCTCTTGAACATATTTTAGTTCATTGAATGACATTTGTAGTGATGTTTCAGGTATACAGCAGAAAATTCCCTGAGGTTTGGACCTCCTAGAGATACTGATCATCCTGAAGTTAGACAACCACTAGCATTAGAAGTTTGGAGATCCATTTTGAGCACAATGGATCCAGGATCCAAAGTTACAATGCTGACCAGCGGACCTCTGACTAATTTAGTAAACATAATTCTTTCAGAGAAGAAGGCAAGTTCGATGATTGAGGTCAGTAATTTTTCATGTTCTTTGAAATGCTCATGGAATAGATTATCAATGAAGAAGAATTTAAAAAAAGAAAAAACTCAGATAATTTTATGATGTTTTTGTTGTATAATATCTGATTTTAGTCACCTACCATATGAAACACATTTCCATTATTAACTGTATGTTCTATTATCTTTTCTTTTAATTAACCTTTTGGGTAGGTGCTCTTTTTGAGGATTAACTGAATCATATTGCTCAAGATAATTTTGACATGAATCATTGAAGTATGATACAACCTTGTAAACTAAAAGCTGAATGAATTCATGAATCTTTAAGTGCAACCATTCACCCAAGGAACTTGGGAGAGGTAATGGTGGGCCTTGATAAGTGGTCATTGACTATGATATGTTCAGCGTATTCTTAGATCCTTAATTCCCAGGAAAGAAATATTGTGCAGAAAACTTTGGAAGAGGAGTTACCTTTTTCTATGAAGTTGAGGGTGGTTCTCCTCAGCCACTGGTATTTATGTGCTTGGTGCTCCCTCCTTTCATTCTTTTTTATTAGTAACTTATCAATGAAGTTTATTCAGAGAATGGAGTAGATTACAAGATAGAATATGATGAACTTGAGAAAAGAGAAGAAAAGAAAGCTATCCTTCGGCATTTCCCGTAAGAAGTGGCTACTCTCATGCATATTTAAAGCCTTATATCTTCTTGATCTTCTCTTTATCATTTCAAGGAAAATAATGAACTTAATGGATACCCAGTTAACATCATTGACCATTTGTTTAATTTCCACTTTCAGAATGTATATATAGTTGGTGGACACATCACCTATGACAGCAAGGATAAAGGAAATGTCTTCGCAGTTCCTTCAAACAAATATGCGGAATTCAATCTGTTTCTTGATCCATTGGCTGCAAAAAAGGTCTTTGACTCAAAACTCAATATCACACTCATTCCGCTTGGCATCCAAAGGCAAGTCAGTTCCTTCCGCAAGATTCTGAAGAGGCTAAGGCTCACAAAAAAGACCCCCGAGGCTGTACTTGCACAGAAATTTCTGTCAAGGCTATATAGTTTACAACAAAAGCATCGTAGCTACCATCATATGGTAAAGTAACATGATTTCTAAATATAACAAGGAGAAACTTAAGGTATCATTCTGGTAGACTTAGAGACAGTTCACCAACAGAATGCTGGTAGTCATTGGCATGGTGCAGGAAACACTGTGTTCAATTTTGAATTGGGGGGGGGGGTGGGATTAGGACCAATTGGGTTATTGTAACCGATGGGTTTATGATCCTTTTCCAAACATATTGTACATGTTTTTGGACAGTCGCATGTGATTTTGTTTAATCAGGACCAACTGAACAGGTCAACCTTAACCTACCAAGATCTCTAGATGAGACCAATAGATGTTGTGTTCCTAATCCTCGTATTTTCATGATGTGGATTTAAGTTTTCTGCATTTCATTAGTTTAAGTATATTCTCCTTTATCTCACTCCTTCAGCTTATTTTTACTGTTTTATCTGGCTACAGGATACATTCTTGGGTGAAATTCTTGGTGCAATAATCTTGGCTGGTCATAATCACTATCTAAATCTAAGCTTCCAAGTCAAGCCCATAAAAGTATTGGCTACTGGTGATATATCCAAAGATGGACAAATTATCATTGATAAAAGGACAGGAAAACTAGCCAAAATATTGGAAAGTGTGAACCCTATGGCATATTATGACCACTTCGCAAATCTCTTGGGTGAAAAATTGCAGTCTGCTATGATTGGTAGCTTTAATGAGCAGAAAAGAATCTGGCGTAGATCACCAAATCAAACTAAGAGTACTTGCTGAGACAGTAAAATATTCTTCAATAATAAGAAATGATTATTTTTCTTTGGTTGATATTTTGTATTACTAACGATGATCTTTGGAGGATCATATATTTTGAATAAAGGCACTTACAGTGTCAATGAGTTCAAAGAAAGTAGTAGAAAGAAAGGAAATATACAACTGAACTTATCCTTCATATACTGAGAAACATAGTATCTCTAATATCATCAAGTTTCAACTTCTACAGACATGTTTATCAGAATCCCTGAAATTAGAAAGGTACAGAAGATTGACACTGAGTTCACAGGACCGTTCTTGCATATTCCTTTTTCAAATGTGTACTTGATCATTAAATCCTGGTAAACAATGGCATTCATATTTCTGAATCAGGTAAAGCAATTTGTTTTTCCAAATTCTGATTTTCAAGCATTGTAACTTTGAATTGAATATTTCCTGGACAGACTTACAATGAGCAGGGGCTTGGGTAGATTCTTAAAGAGTCGTGAGGAAGGGCAGCCCAGCAAAGCAGGGTCTGGGGAGGGACAGATATATGCAGCCTTATTACCCCCTGCACATACAGATAGACTGTTTCCAAGATTTGAACCCTGGTCACCCAGGTTGCACTGGAGCAACCCAACCGTCGCGCCAAGATTAGGTGAAAAGCTTGACTGCACTTATCATTGTTATGCATTGGGTTCACACTTGTGGACCCTTGGCCTCATACTGCATGGTGATGGAACCTATCATTTCTGTCAGGCAAAGCCATCCCTAACCCCAATCAGATCAAATGAAGCAAGCCCCAGGCTTAGACAGTAAATGTACAATCACTGCATTACAAATGATAATCAACAACTGTCAATAGAATCTCAAGACTCATGGTCGGTACATGACGACAATTTATGCTTAGCTGGTAAATCACAGTTTAAATGACACCAAAGGGTAGCCAGGGGTCGGCAAGAAAAATCCTAAATTTTGGGTTGAAAAAAGAAATCAAAAATAAATTCTGACAATGACAGAGAATTGCCAAAGGAATTGATGGTTGCAGACTTGCAATCATCCAATGAGGTTGATACTTGTTATTTTTACTTATTATGTGGGGTCTGTGAGGTGGCAAGTCCCAAAACAACAATTTCCTGCTCTGCATCAACAATCAACTCCAGGAGCTTCCGCCTGTTATTTTTGCACGTCTTTCAGTTTGCAGGAAGCTCGAAAGACCAAAAATGGCCTTTTCTTGTTTGTATTGTATAGATCAAAAGACCCAAAGACAAGCGCATGGAAAGACAAAAAACCAAAAATCAGAAAGCTTCAAGTGAAGCTTTTGGTTTTTTTTTTCACGCTGAAAATAGTCTTCCCAACTATTTTTAACAGTCCCATAGACCACGACGCTTAACATTTAACAAACAGTCTTGGTCTTTAAAGGCAAGACCCCAAAAGTTAAAAAGGCGAAAGGTGGAAAGCTAAATAAAGAAACGTTGAATGAATTCATTTAGTACAGAGCTCTTTGTTCCATGTCATGTTTGAACATGTAATTGCAGACCAAGAGGCAAATGCAAATCCCAACTGATGGTAAGCAATTAAGCATTGACCGTTGACATTGCCAGACACATCTGTGATATTGTTACAAAGAAAAATAGTGATGGGTCATTAAATAATTGAACAAATTCCCAAAAATAATGAAAAAAATAGCCCTCCAATCCTCCATTGCATTGATTTTTTTTYTTTTTTTTTTTTTTTTTTTGTTTTTGCATTGAAATGCTGTTTGGTATCCATTCTCTATTTCTCCCTATCTAGAAATGAACTGTAAATAAAGATGTCGACGCAATTCCCCCACTTGACAGTACTGCCGTCCTTATTCAATTAAGTATATTAACAACTCTGATTAAGTAGATTAATATATATATATTATATTCTTGAGATCCTTCATCTGCTTGACTCACCAAATCATTCAAACCAGAGGACCCATATCTGGGTCAGTTGTATCAGACGGTTTCAATGTGGTTCCACAAAATCAGATAGGTCTCATTTAATCACAATGAAAATGGTTCCATAGATTCAAGAAACCCTGTACCCCATGGTTAGGTATGAAGATGACTGTAAGTCACTTAAACAAAGATTACTTTCTAATTTCTATTTCTACCAGACAAGGACCTTAGATTGTGTTTTTCTTACCTTGTTATTTGTTTTTGCTAGCTTACCTATTTTTCCTTTCATATCCCTGGGTGAATAGAAGAAAACTTGATCTGATCAATTATTGCTCCTTGCCTGACATAATCATGGCAGATTAGACCATGCAAGATGGAATAACAGAGAAGATTATCAACATTTCGATTTGAAAAGGAGAGTGGGTGGGCCGTGGACCTGATGAGATGGCAAAAGGGACAAAAAGACTTGCTCAAATTCTCTCCCCTCTTATGCTTAACAATCCCCCATACAGTTAAAAGAAGAGAACTACCAATAAGTGAAGCAGAGAAGATTATCAACATTTCAATTTGAAAAGGAGAGTGGGTGGGCCGTGGACCTGATGAGATGGCAAAAGGGACAAAAAGACTTGCTCAAATTCTCTCCCCTCTTAAGCTTAACAATCCCCCATACAGTTAAAAGAAGAGAACTACCAATAAGTGAAGTAGTTTACATCTCAAACACCAAAAAAAAAAAAAAAGTACAACGCTTCTCTATATCACTACCCTCCATTTTTCTTTCTTTCGTTCTCTACCTTTCTGCTTTTGATTAGACCTTGCCACCACTCACTCCATCGGAATCGACCCACCAGCTGCTAAAACCTGTTGCTCCAGCTACAGTTGAATGAGAAGAAAAATGAGACTTCTAGAGAGAGAGAGAAAGAGAGATAATTTCATCCACTCACCCTGAATAGAGTTTCAAGCTTGTTCTTCACAAGAGCATATTCATGTTTCACTTGTTGCAGACATCTCAGACACCTAAACCAGATTCTTCTCTTGATCAGAAGAAGTCGAGGAGGACTTCCATAGTTCTAACAGTAAGCAGTAAGATCTGGGTTAATTCAAAAAAGGAGGATATGTGAAAGGAAAGCAATAACTCACCCTTCAATGTTCTGTTCCTCGCAAAAGTTGCGAAAAGCAATGCAGACATTTTTGACTCTCTGTGCACCTATGCTGTAACCCATAGAAACCCATCCTCCTCATCAAACATTAATTATAGATACATGAATAAGATCCAAATTTTGATTTCCCCCCTCTCTGAAATCTGGGACTGCAACTCAGATCCGAGTTAGCTTTGAAACAGACTATATTCTTAGAGTAAAAGATTTTTTTCTACAAGAGATTAGAAACTTAAAATTGGTTCTTGTTATGTGAGGATGAAGGGGTTTCCTTTATAAGAATTTTATGTAGTCTTCAGGTACAGAACAGGGAAAAAAGAAGAGGATGACAAGAGAAAAAAAAAAAAAGGAAAAACCAGGTATTCTTTGGCCATATGCATTCAATATAGCAACTAAATAAGAACAAGCTGGAAGGGAACTAGGGAAGTAACCTGGAGCTACTACCCTTCAACTGATGAACATGGGCATCGACCTTCTTGAAATCTACACTCGGCTGATCCCTGCAAAAAAGAAATAGAAATCCAAGAACAGAAATGAGACTGTAGTCCTAGACCCATCAAGACCAAAACCAGAAAAGTTATCAAAGAAAAGCAACAGTAGATCCGAAAAATAGAAGCAGAAGCTTGAATACCCACAGGGATATGGCCAAATCGTTTAGAAGCCTCTCAGAATCTTCGAAAAAGAGAGAGACAACTTCAAAAACGAAATCAGGGTTACTCTCGTCTTGAAGTTGCTGAAGTTGAGTGAATTGATCATCTAGAAATCCCTTCTCACCAACAAAAAACAAAAAAAAAAACCATCAGCAAAACCTCTTAACAAGCAAGATGAAATCATCAGAGCATAATTAAAACACAAAGAAGCAGACCCATCTGCAGTTTTTTTTTCTTTCTCTGTATTTTATTCATTGTACTCACCTCACGAAATAAGGATGCTGTATAATCAACTAACCTTCTCTGCAACTGACCCACATCCATTCTTGCTTCTCCTCCCTCTCTCTCTCCCCTGTGTTTCTCTCTGCCCCCTCGCCTCCCTTATTTAACGTGGAACAGCAGGTCATAAATACCCGTTTCAGTAGATGGTTTCCCACTTTCCCCTAAATTTAAAAACATAAAAACTCAAGCCTTGAAAATGTTCTGACAGAAAACAGTAAGCAAAAAAACTTCTGCTTTGCTGCTTTTATGGATAGTCTACATATGGAAGCATCTCTTTTCTAAACGCCTCTCTCTCTTATGGATAGTCTACACCTTAAAAGGGGCCCCTACACACAAAAGAATAGATTACAATTGCCATTGTTGTTCATGTATGAATCCTCCATGTTTCTTTGTTGGGTAAATTATTGCTCTTCCTTACCAAACGCCAGTCACCCACGTCATATTTTTACTGTAATTTTCCCTCTCTTTCATTAGTTTTTCCTCTTAAAACACTCTTTGATCTTGGTTTTAAATTACTGGCATTTGACGTACAAGTGACTCAAGCCCACGTTACCTCTTTCTCTTCCTGTCTGTCTCTATCTCTCTCTGTCAGAAGCTGAAAATCATGTCAAAGAGTGTGAAAACTTTCTATATATTATCTTTTTCAAAGATTAAATATGTTGTCATAAAAGAGTAGATTAAGTTATTTAGAGAATATATATACCTTCATTGTTAATTCTTTTTTTAAGGAATGAACCCAACATAGTCATCTCCTCATCACCTAGCCCTTCTCTTTCTTCCTTTTTCACATTTCACATCTACTGATCTACCCCCTTTTCTCTGTAACGTAAAAAAGATCTCTTTTACCGTATCTAATCTTACCAAGTATCTTTATCAAATCAGGCCAATAGCTGTTTTTCTTGTTGTTTCTTGCTTTGGTTGGTTTGTCAATCGATATCGCTTAAGTCACTGGTACAATAGACACCATCAGGCTTTGGTTTGTCTCTTCTCACAGACAGGCAAACGATGTAGAGTAGTAGTATTCCTTCTTGACCTCATGATGGTCAAATTTGTATGGAAATTCTAATATTTTGTTGTTTTTCTCTGTGGTGATTGAAGGACAAGTGCTCCACCTATGACAATGGGGTCAACGTTCTATTTAAGGCGAAGATGGGAGAGATTCCTGGGTCTATTCTACCAAGTAGCATTTCCATTCTAATGCAAAATGATGTGGAAAGGAAGAAATTCAATAACTTGAAGATGGGGGGTTCTTGTGGATTTTCTGCACCTTCACAAGAGATCATCAGTGGTCAGTGTGGGGCGCTGAAATGACGTCCCAGACGTCATGAAGTCGACCATTTTTGACACGGTTTCTGCTGGTCAAGGAGTACATTGTAGAGTGCAAAACCTTGTGTTCTGTACTATTTTGTATGCATTTGTACCGTGTACATATTTGTATTCTTACTCCTTCCAAACTGAGCCTTAGATACAATTATCTGGCTCCAAATGATGGTACCCGGAAGGAAATATATCTACTTTTCTGAATCCATGATGCAAATTTGTATCTACTGAGTTATGACTACTTGTGAGTGATTGACTGATGAGGCCCCCGGGAATCTCCTCTTCTCTTGTAGTGCATAATGCCCGTCTAGGGGAGGAGGATGGTTGGGGTTGGGCACTTGGGCTGGGTGCCGGAGTTTGATTGTATGAACTGATGTGGAGGTGAATGGTCGGACCGTTCAATCCGTGAATCAGTCTCAGAACGGTTTTTATTCGGTCCGATTTTAAAAACCTTATCTAAAACAGGGGGACCATCTGGATTAAAAATAAATCACAGTGCATCCAACTTCAGCCATTCAGCCATTCAGCCACTGGAAGGAAGATATGGCCATTTACATTTAGGCTGTGTTTGGTTTGAAAGAAATGGTAGAGAAAGGAAGGCAGAGGTAAGAAAACCTTTACAATATTTTATATTTGTACATGTTTCCTTGTGTTTTTCTTCCCTTCCCTAGTCAATTGCACGAATGCACCATCCTATTTATATTAAGCAAAATTTTCTTAATGTTTAGTTTGAAAGGAGTACAAATATAAATAGGTACAGAGTAAATATATACAAAATAATATAAAATATAAGGTTTTTGTACTCTACAAATTTGCATTTATACTCCTTTCAAACTGAGCCTAAGCTATCTTTATGGTTTAGTTAATTGACTAATTCTACCCTTAATGTGTATTGGGAACATCTCCACAGCATATCTTGAGAATGTGCTATGGGGCACCCTTTGCGGGCCCAACTCATTAATTTTACTTTTCTTACAAATGATCATTATTAACAATTCAAAGCTTCATTTTCGGAGAACAGGAAAGAAAAAGAACTGTTGGGGAGCTACAGCAATGTCTATGGCGGTGTTTGACATCGATGTCGTTGCTCCAGAAAACAGTATGGGAAAATAAAATCCAATAAAACATAACGGCTTATGGGAAAATAAAATCCAATACCCAATAAGTATGGGAAATAATAATTGAATAACAGTAATCCTCTTCTATATGGAGTTGGTTACACAAATCCGGTTCGACCATTCCATTTTCTTCAAATGGCATATCCATTGTCAAATTATGGATGCTTAAATAATTTCCTGGTGGTAATAGGAATATTTTAAATAATCATTAAATAATTTAAAACAGTTTTAACCCTTTGCTTTTATGAATCAAATCAAATCATAAAAACCATTTTTCCAAAATATTTGCATTCATAAAATTAATAGGAGAAGGGGTAAGGTTACATACATCTGTCCCTCCTCAGACCCCGCATTGACAGCAGCCTTGTACATTGAATTGTCCTTTTTTTTATAAACTAATAGGGACAGAATTGCAAATCACCTCGATAATTAAGACTATCTGGATTCTTGGTTCTGGGAAAGTGAAATGGATTTGAAATCTAATTAAGAAACGACTAGCTCCTAGTAGAAATTCAAATGCTCTTAAAACTTACAGGCTCTTCATGTTTCTCTACATTCCATGACCATAAAAGTGCATCCTAAGTATGAAATTCGAAGATTCACGAATTTGACAAATCCACTGCTGCCTCTAATTCCAAATCCACCCTATTCAAAACAAATCCTGATAATATATATTGAACCATTGAAGAGTAAGAAGTGACACACAAATATTTTATTTACCCCATTCTACATTAAGAAGATTACTTTTGCTAAAAATGACATCTAATCTTCTATCAGATAGTGGCCTCAGGTTTAATTTCACAGACATAGTTACATTACATACTAAGGCCATAAATAATTTGTTAAAAAAAAGGGAAAAACATGATATTTGAAAGGCTTTGATCAATCATAACTCTCCGTGAATTTGGATGAAAACCCACTTGATTCGTTATCACCTTTATGATGATTCGGGTTGATTGATTGTAAATTTTTCTGCCAATGTCATAGTCGAACCCAATAAAAAAATACTGGTTCCACCACCTAATTATGCGATAGTCTATGTCTATGTTCAGAATCAGAATGACCCATTAATTTGTGCCCAAAAGAATATATTATTGCAGAATGTATCTTTAGAGTGATGGACAGAAGATGTGTCGAGCACCCATTAAAGAGAATCACAATCTGGGCAAAGGAAACGGAAGAATCACAATCTGGTCACAGATTAGTTGTATTTGTACATATCTCCAACTTGACAAGAGACTGAGAACCAGAAAACTCAAGAAAAAGAAAGGAATATTTCCTCCTCTCTGATCAAATGGGGGCCCCTCAAATGACAAGTATGCTGGCTTTCGACTTTAAGAGTTTCAAAACTGGATATATAGTTTAACCTGGGGGAGGGGGTTCCTAAATCCTACTTCCTAGTTCCTATGTGGAATCAACCTAGTCAAATCGTCATTTCAATTCATGGGCTCAATTCTTAAGTCTTACTTATCCAGGCTAATTCCCTCAATCTCATTGGTCTAACGCCTGGTCGCTCTTCAGGAGATGGGACTCACGTTCAAGCTCCTACACACACTTCGCCCTTTTTGCTCGATTCCCACATTTTTTTAGGAGTTTTTAGTGTTCGGTCCACCTCTATAAATCTTAGCCCCACCGTACAGGTGGGATGAATCCTGACCGTGAATTGATAACAAATCCAGACAGGAGATGATGATGATGTCTAAGTCTAGAACACACTCATAGGTTGATCCTAGGGGGTGTAATCAAGTCAAGTTCAGTCGAGTATCAGGTTTAAAAAAAAACTAAGAGGTCAAAACTCAATTCAAACTTGATCGAGTTTTAAGTTTCAAGTTTTTGGCTCAAATTCAATTCCATTACTCGTAGGTCCCAAACTACTTAGCTCAGCTTGACTTGAACCGATTATAAATAAATTAGCATTAAAAATTAATAATAAAAATAAAATATATATATTAAAAATTATAGATAAATTAATATTATAAATACTATAAATAAAAATACATAATGAAAATCAATTCTAAATTTATTTATATTATAAATATGAATAAATTAAAAAAAATAGTATTTTATAATGAGCTCGATTAGGATCATGAGCCACTCAAGCTAGGTATTGTGAAGTTTGAACTATATTACTCAATGTTTTCAAAACTGGACTGGACTGGAAAAATCAGACCTGACCGATTCTGTTTAATCCCAAAACCACATTTTGGCCAAAAACCGTTGATTTGGTCAGCAAACCACTGACCCGGGCAGTCGAACCGTTGAACCGTTCGACTCAAGAACAGTTTTGGCCTTTTTGTGTTTTTATGTTTTTTTTTGTATGAGCGGGCCTGAGCAGTCTATTCAGACCAGACGCTCGGGCCATTCGACCCAAGAACCGGACCCAGAACGATTCCCTGTCCAATCCGGTTTTAAAAACTTTGATATTACTTCAAAGTCGAATTCAATTATTTAGCAAGCAGAGCCCGAATAACTGGCAAAATAGGCTCATCTCGCTTATAGCCTCTTTGACCCAACTCAAAGATGCACCTCAAAACCAATGGACACTCGTATGGTAAGGTCAGTCAAATCATTGATTTTGCAATATTTACTGTTGATGGTGAGATGACCCATATCTTCCTTCCAGCAACTGAAGTTGTTAGCAGTAAGACCTGTTTAACATTAGCAATTGAGCCAACTGGTACCAAACTTTCAGTCGGAAGTCGGAACACTGGCTGAAGTTGGTGAAATTCATGTAAATTAGAGTTTGCTAGAGTAGATTAGACATTTCCTGCCAGGAAAAAAATAAACCCGAGTGAATTTGCCCCTCCAAATCAATGTAGCAGTTAGGCCGAACAATGCAAGGATAAACAAAGGAATAAGAATAGAGGACGGTTCCAGGTATTTGCCGGTAACTAAAGCAATAAATAAATGGAGATCACACACATGAGATCTTCATGCATGAGAATCGATGCCCACAAGGCCACAACTATTAAATATATATGAAAGAACACAAGTGGAAGTGGTTGGTTATACGAGACTCACTGTTAACATACTAACAGTGAGTGCTCTCTGCGTCTTGTTTCTGAATACCAAAAGTTGGGGGATGAGAGAGAGAGAGAGAGAGAAAAGGAGAGAGAGAGAGAGAGACCCATGTCGTCTTCTGCTTGATCTTAAAAAAGGCGGTATCTAGTATGCTTCCATGGTTCGATGGGTAAAGAAAGTATACCAACCCTCACGGGGTTGAATTTGACAGTAAGCGTCAAGTGTGAATCCATTAATGGTTCCACCAAGGTCAGTGGCACTGGATAATGAGCTAGCCTCTGAACTATGAACCTGCCAAAAAAAGGTGGATACCCTAATTGATGAATCTAGTGATGTTCATCAATAAGGCTTGAAAATTTTGTTCTCATGGAATCCATCTCTATAATCTGACTCTACATTAAGTCAAAGATTTCTTGTTTTGACAAGTGAAAATAAAAGCACGAGAAAGCAAAAAGAGGTGGGGAAACACACGATAATACCATCAAAAGACGGCCTTCTGAGCAAGTTGTTAAATCAGAGTTTTGTAAACAATTAGGCCCCTAAAACCCTGCTGAATCAAACAACAAATTGGCTATTACATTTAGAATTTGTTGATATTATGGATGTAAACTTGTAATCCAACACTACTTGAAACTGATGCAAGGAAAATTTTTTTAATTCATCTATTGAATATTTTTCCACTTTCTCAAATAACTGAACGACTCAAATACAGAAAAAGAGGCGAAGGACTAATCAAAGAATAACTTAGCAGGAAAAAAAAAGTAAAATTCTTACAACAAAAACTGATTAATACAACATTGTCTGGCTATTTAAGATAGGATCAACCTGTGGCCATAGGATATTTTCTACAGGAACCATAATAGATCTTAACACACCTTACAACTCCTCCTACAGTAACCTGGGAGGTCTGGAGTTCCTACCATATACGATGGGTTCTTCGTGCATTCTCCAAGAGCAGCCCACCTCTCACAACTCTCATTCTGATCCTTACATCCAGAATCAGCTGCCAAGTTCTTGTCAAATGAGTCTACATGTATCCACTTGGTTGCAGACCATTTCTCACCTTCAATTACTGGGCAACCGGCATGAAGGCTACTCTGGTCTGGGGTAGCATCTGGGTGGAGACTGAAGAAGAGAAGAGCATCTCCTCTGTGTGGTTTTACTGATACATATCAGGTTGGCCAAAAAGATCATCACATTAACACTACTGAAGAATGTAGAAGTATTAAGTACATGCAAACAATTAAAATCTGCACCAGGAACTCACCGGCTACTCCCTTCTTTGCACAATCTGACAAGTCACCATCTACTGCAGGTGATCTATGTGGAGGCTCCTATTAAATCATTAAACAGTAAGAAGATTTTCTTTTGAACACACGACAATAACAACTCTGGAAATGGTTTCCAGCTAGCTATACTTTGCATCATGTGTGAAGTATGCTGAAAAGCTGATCAAAGTGCAAGTAATATAGAAGAGAAAAGCCTGTGTCTTTTCCAGGAGACGTTTTTTGTATTTGATCAATAACAAAACTTTCATTAATCAAACAGAATTATTAATTACAAATAAGGGGAGATATACTTTCCTGGAGACCATTTATACATCACTTTGTAATCAGAGAGGACAACTGCATTGTCTGGGACACTTGACACTTCTAGGCAGGTGCTAGGGGTGTTCACGGGTTGGTGCAAGGTTTTGGCCAATTGAATCAACCTGGTCGGTTTGGGAGTTGGTCACCCAAAACCAATGTTTTCAAAACTGGACGGTCGGACCGGAAAAACCAGGAACCGGTCACCTGACCAGTTCCGTTTTACCCCAGAACCGTCTTTTGGCCAAAAACCGTTGATTTGGTCAGCAAACTGCTGACCCGGGTGGTTGAACCATTCGAACCATGCAACGGTTTTTGGCCATTGTTTTAATTTTTTTGTCAGAATGGGTTGTTTGTTTGGCTCGAACGGTTGGACCGTTCGACCCCGAAACTGGACCCCTGAATGGTTCGTTGTCTGGTTCAGTTTTAAAAACCTTGCTCAAAACTGACCGACCAACTCGGGTTGTATTGGTTTGGGTCAGTTTTCGGTTGGTCGATCGGTTCAAAAAATTTAAACTTAAAAAATTAAATTTAACTTTTAAACATTACAGCGATATTATTAAAAAATTATATTAAATTTGCTATATAAAATATTTTAAACTAGGAAATATGGGAATTTTCCCACGTTTCCGTATTAAAAAATTTATATTTAAAATATAAAATATTAATATATATATATATATATGGTTGGGTCGAGTCGGTTTGGGCCAAACTGAAACTGACCCAACTTGGTTGGGTTGGGAAAGTACTGAACTGAAGCCAACCGAAAGTATTAAAAAACAACCAACTCGGGTCGAGTTGGGCTGGGTTGGTCAGTTTGATGAACAGCCCTAGCAGGTGCCATAAAAAGTAGTGTCCCGAGTTCTATTATTTCTAGGAGAGTTATTTAAAAATTAAATGCCACTTAGAATGTTTTACTGGAAAAATAAATGACTAAAGAAATGATAAGAATCCTTGCACAGTCAAAGAACTTCCCTAACAGAACAAAAAGGAAAAGAAAAAATTCCAGGTTTGTCCCTTTGAGCTCCTTAAGTTGATTTATTTATTATTCTAATTCATGGCTTCATTATATTATTTTATTAAATCTAATTTAATGGATAAACAAAATCTTTTACTTTTTTTACCGAAGTGATGTATGTCCAGAAAACTGTGTATAGGTAGGTACCTATGTGGACACGGACGCATAAGAGTATGCTGATACCATGCATCTATGTTTTTTTTTTTTTTTTTTGAAGCCAAGTATCACTTTTTTAACAATTATCTTCCCAGACTAAATGAAACTTCGTAACATTTAAACATTTAAATTCACCTTTCCCAAGACCCTGGATAGCTGGGACCAACAATGGGTAATTTCCTTTTATTTGTTAAAATATATTTTGGTAATGGCAATATTCTAAATATACCACATGCCCATGGAGCACCCTGAATGACATGCTTTTCGGTCTTGAGTTGTTCTAATCCCAGTGAACATGGTTAATAATTGCAATAGTTGGCTCACAATCAGAAAATTAGAACTATGATAAATGCAACTCCAGCACTTTTGTCATTGAAGGTATAACCTATAATACCAGCATCCATGTGGTAGGATGCATCATAGGACAAACCAGCAAACAGTACTTGGAAAAAGGCATCCACAAATGACAATTTTAGCATCTAACACTGGTAAGAAACTCCATAAACAAATATTAAACAGTAATAGAATAAACAGCCCCTGCAGTTGGAATAGAAACAAAAATTGAGCAATGCTTTAACCAACCTCTGCTGAGGGAAACACTGTTTCACCACCTTTTGTCACATCGGTGAGATACAGAAGTACAGTGGCAATGCGGTGCCCGCCCCTAGCAATATTAACCTTATCAACAAAGTAATCATAGTGTGGATCATACTTTTGCCCATTCTCATATCGCAGTACTTGTATGTCTTCACCATTTTCTGGGAAACAAAGACAGTCAAGAACTTCAAAAGTTATAGAGAGCATTTGTAATGAAATTCATGTTCAGCTACCCTGAGAATGAGGAAGGCCACTTTATTAGATGTGCTTCATATCTAGGAATAAGGATGTTAGAATGATATGTTAGAAGGCTTGAGTGTGTTCRGCTGATAAGRATTCCTATTAGCCCATTCTTATGTTAATCTTATCTTGTAACTGGGCCTTTACTAATGGGCCTAATCTTGTTTATGTCTTAAGTCTTCTGGGTCTCCCATCACTAATCAGGGGTATCCCAGTAATTTCTTGTACTTTGTACTTCACTTATATATATAAATAAAGGCATGGTCGACTGCAAGTACAGTTCGACATTTCAGCATCTCTTCTTCTCCTCTTCTGCTACTTCGACTACAGTGGTTCAGCTTTCATGGTATCAGAGCATTGAGCACTCTCCTGGTTACTGCCGACGCCATCTCATCTTTCTTGCTGTATTTCATCTTTTTTTTTATCTGGGTTGCTGCTGTGAAACCCTAGGGTTGCAGGAGAACAACACAAGGTTCGACCTAGGGTTTCCCTTGGTTGTAGGGCGCAAGGGAGGTAAGACCCTGAAGCTGGAGTCCTACTAGTTTCTAGTA